GTGCTTTGGAATCGGCTACAAGGAGACTTTTAGTCCGGTTGTTAAACCAAACACGGTGCAGGTTGTCCTTAGTCTTGCTCTCGCCTAGGGATGGCCGATTCATCAGATGGATGTCAAGAATGCCTTCCTCAACGGCACACTTCAAGAAACCGTTTATGTCAGTCAACCATCAGGCTTCCAGGTCCCACACCGACCAAATTATGTTTGCAGGTTGAAGAAGGCATTTTATGGTCTAAAGCAGGCTCCCAGGTCTTGGTATCACCGTTTTGCAGGGTTTCTCCTTACGTTGGGCTTTCGCGGCTACAAGGGTGACACCTCTCTATTTGTGTACACACATGGGGCTCACATGGCATATTGGTTACTTTATGTGGATTATATTGTTCTCACATCCCCATCCACTTCTCTGCTCAATCGCCTTACTCAGAAACTATAGCGCAATTCGCTCATGAGATTTTAGGGCGGTCTTTTTCTTCATCAGACACAATTTGCTCATGAGATCTTAGAGCGTGCAGACATGTTAAACTGCAAGCCCATCTCTATCCCGGTCGACACCAAGGCAAAACTAGCAGCTTCATCTGGCACTTCTCACCCTACCCTATACAGATCTATTGTTGGTGCGTTGGAGTATCTCATTTTTACACGTCCAGATCTCACTTATGCCGTGCAGCAGTTATGCCTTCACCTCCACGCTCCACGCAGCAGTCATCTCACTGCAATGAAGTGTGTTCTCCATTACCTTCATGGCACCGTCACCCATGGGATCACTCTTCATCGCACTCAAACATATGTCAATTTTAAATGTAGTACTTAAACTTGTTTATTCCCTACATAATACTTGAATAGTGTCTTGTGGTAGGAACAATGTCGAGTGATGGTGGACATTTAGTTTGAGCAATGTCTAGTGCTAATGGACATTTACTTGAACAATGACCAGTCGACAATGACCAATGGTAGAAATAAAAACATATGGTACTACATTGGGAAAGTCATTATGATTTAGTACTAAGATAAATCCTCCAACTTTAATACGATAAAAACATGTCGCTCTTATTTTGGAGATAAGGATAATACTTTACTCTTATTGTTGGTGATTTCTTTTAAAGGATGCTCCATATTAAGTAGTACGTTCAATTTTTTATACCAAAATATGACTTATAATGTCAAATAACGTCAAAACACATTGTTAAAAAAAAATATTGTGAAATATCAACTCACAATATCAAATTGTTGGCGTTCTATAATGCCAACAATCGTATTTTTAAGGGATAAAAATATAAGATGTCTCTTGCTAAATTTAGTATAATCCCTATTTTGGATAATTCAATTTATTTAAGACCCAACGAGAAATTTTATAAATTGGATAACAAGTTTAGATATGTAAAATACATGATTGTTCAATGATATTAAAAACTTAAAACATCTTAGAGTGGTCCGGGTGTGACACCCCTTACCAGGTCCAAAGCACAGAGCCCTTGGGTCAAGTTAATACATTAATTTTTTTTGAAAGGTTTCCTTGTGAAAATTTAATTAAATTTTATGATTGGCTTCGAATGTTTGTTAATCGGCCACAACCTTTACGAAAAGTAAGTAACGTTTGAGTGTGGAAATGAATATTTGAATAAATGAGCAAAAACTTCAAAAAAAATTAAATAAATAAAAATTAAATAAAAATGGGTGGTGGAGAAGGGGGTGTGGGACAAATGGGGTACACCTTTGGTGTACCCCTAGCATTGCTCTTGAATATTTACTGTCCACAATTCAATTCAAATGTAAGATTTTGGGAGCTATTAGATTCCTTAAAAGTTCAAAAATATGTTATTATCTAACATTCAAATGTTACAATGAACATACGTGTTAATTCACAAGTAGGAATATAACGAAATTTACACCAAATAGTACTAAAATATATGTCGTTTTTCAAAGTAGCATTTAAATTTTTTTAATTCCCTAAATAGTACTTGAATAATGTCTAGTGACGGGAACAATCTAGTGATGGTGGACATTTAGTTTGAACAATGTCCAGTGGCGGTGATTTGAACAATGACCAATTGACATTGAACAATAGTACTACATTGGAAAATAAAAACATATGATACTACATTATGAAACTCACTATGTTTTAGTACTATTTAGATACATTTTCCTTGAATATATCCTGAGCAATATATCATAATGTGGTTTACTCTAGTAGACATGTCTAGTTGGTTTTGCTAGCTCTATAAATATTAAATAAGAGTCCCCAATGGTATGTCTCATCTGATTGAAATTCTTTTTACAGTACGATTAAATTAAATTTAATCTTAAAGCATCTGTGTAATTCATACTCCCTTCGTCCCCAATTAGATTACAATATTCCCTCTTATTTTTGTCCCAAAAAGAATTACAAAGTGTTTACTTTTATACTAAATGAACTCTTTTACCCTCCCTCTCCTTTATCATTTCAATGTCAAAATCTCACCCACCCACCCATTCCTATACTATTTGGGGAGTAATTTGGGGGAAAAAATACTGATTTGACTCTTCTTTAATTTTGTCTAAAAGGAAATATTGTAATCTAAAAAGGGACGGAGGGAGTATATACTACTTGCCTTTTCATTGATTCTTTAGTATTCCCAAATGCTGCGTAGTGCGTACGTCCTTATTAGACCATTTCCAATGGTTGACACCAAACTCAAAACTAAAACAAGCACAAACTCAAAGTACCGTAATTTCGCTTCAATCCATTACTTCAAGCTCAAACTCGAATAATAACATTATCATTTTCTTTCTTTTTTAATAGTTTATAAATTTAAAATATGTGTTCAACTATATATTTAAAAAAAGATAAATGCATAAATATATAAATATAAAAGCACAACTAGACTCTAATCTAAAATGGAGTACAAATTCAAAATGTTGTGATTATATAAGAAGGTAGAGTTCAAACTATTTTTTTAATATTCATTACTACTAGATAGTAAAAAAAAAAAAGTATATTAGCTTCATATATGGCCAAGGGCGGGCGGGCCCATATAAAGTCACGCAACATTTGTGTTTGCCGGCCTGTATCGATATGGCTCCCAGCTGCGTCAGATATGGACCAATGAGTTTTGATAGTATATGATTTATACTGTTTTGTTCTTTATATACTCACATCCAAACAACACGCAGCGCAGCAGCTGTGGGTAAGTGGGTTCCCATCTTTATAGCTAGCCCATGTATGTCATCAGCCTTTTTAACTAGACAAAACAATAGAGTATCACTTCTTGCTTGCCTTTACCCCTCTTAGAAATTAAATCAAATCATACTACTCTCTTAGTCTCAGAGTATTTATCTAATATTCACTTTCTTCGATCAAAGTTAGTAAACATTGGCTTCACGTTAACTAAAACTAATTTTAGATATTAATACAAAACTACAAAACTAGTTTTATTAGATTTATTATATCAAATATTTTCAAAATATTATTTTATCCAATTAATATACAATATATATTTTATGTAATTATAGGTCAAAGGTTAAAACTTATTGATCGAGAAATCTCACAACAGATAATACATCTTTCAAAACCAAGATAAATCTTGTATTTTTTCAATTTATTTTATTTAAAAATTGATAAAAACCACCCTATGTTTACTAAAACTATTCTTGTTTACTATTCAATGATGTTCGATAACTTTTGTTTGTATGTGTCTTTTTATTAGTCATTTAATAAAATAAAATATTCTTATCACTACATATTTTTTAGAACTTTTGATGTAGTTTTTAAAATGTAAATTTTACTTTAAAGGAAAGAAAATAACCAATTCTGCAACCTAAGTATCGCAAGTCGCAACATAAGTTAGTTCACTTAGTTGCATGCCCAACCACTTGAGGGACACTTACTTTTTGTTTACAACACTACTTACATTGTATTTATATACAGTTCAATGGTGTCACTAGACTTTATTAGACCATATATAGATCCACCACGAGATCGGAGTGACTTGGACTGACCCCACTCGATCAAACTAGTGTGGGTCTGCCTCTAATTCCCTCCCTCCTTAAAAGATGTTCATGTTTTATTTTTTGTGTATTCCATAAAAATTTATGTTGTATCTCAAATGTCTAAAATATCACCCAAGCAAGTTCTATCTGTAACAAAAGAGAAATGAATTAATTTTTTGACACTATATAGATGTGTAGAAGTGTTTTATAGGATGCACACAAAATGAAAAATGAACAACTTTTTGAGACAAAAGAGTTATATTAAAAATTCGACAAATTAGAAGCAACAAGATCATAGTATTTTTATCTTATCAAATACTTAATGAAAAATGTAGTAAAAGCGATTGTGGTAACTTACTTGATTAGATAAAAATGTAGTATTTTTATCTAATCAAATACTTAGTTGCAATGATTTTGGAATAGTAGAGGCGATTGTGGGAGGGAGAGAGTAGTAGAGAGTGTTAAAACTATAATCTACAATGTCTTGTTCTTACTCTATGTATTACAATACTCTACGTAAAAGAATTTTCTTTTGTTTTTTTGTTGAGTATTTATCCATATTTGACTTTTTCTGGTCAAAATTAGTAAATCCTACTTGAAATTAATTTAATATAATATTAGATATTGATACAAAAATATTTTTATTAGATTTATTATTTAAATTATTTTTAAAGTATTATTTTATCTAATTAATATACAATATATATTTTATTTAATTATAAGTCAAAGTTGAAACCAGTTGATTGAAAAAATTCCAAACTGCACAAATACTCAAAAACGGAGCCACGGAGGTAGTACATTGTTAAATTTTTCCACTATATTTCATCATTTTCGTTGGTCATTAGATACAACAATAATATAGTAATATATATCAACTCTTGTATTTTAGAATTTATGAGTTAGTTTTTGTTAGATAACTATGGTAATAGTTATAGTTATAGAAGGATTGTTATTATAGTAAGTTACCATACTTGGAGAATCCTAATTGATGTAGGAATCTCCATATATATAAACTACCTTGTACACAATTATTTCCTTGAGTTGAAATCATAATTCAATATGGTATCAGAGCTTATTGATCTGTCTCTTCCTTCTCGATAACACAAAGAAAAAAATCGGCCCAGCCGATTCTGTCTCGTCTTCCCCACGCCGCCGATCTCTACCAATCGGCCATGGCTGCCCAGTCTTCTGATCCCATGGATCGTCTGCCTACGGGTTTGAAATTATTTGTCCGGAATCTTCAATCTCTAACTCCGGTCAAACTTGATGATACAAATTATCCTTCTTGGTCTGCTACGGTTCGCGCAAATCTCATCGCTCATCGTCTCCTCGGATATGTTGATGGTTCAGAAATGCCTCCTCCATCCCTTGTTCTGGACGAGAAAGCCGCCGCCCCTGGCAAGGATGAACCGCCAGTTATGAAACCCAATCCTGCTTATGACTCATGGGTTCTTGTTGATGCTCAAATCAGGGCCTGTCTTCTTGCTATTGTTTCTCCAACCGTTCAGACTCATATTCATGCTCTTTCATCCTCTGCTACAATCTGGAATCACCTCGAACAACAGTACAAATCTCTATCACGTACTCATATTTTTCAATTGAAGGAGCGCCTACATAGCATTCAAAAGGGCACTGATTCCATGCAAACATACCTGGACACTGTTCTCACTATTGTCTCATCTCTGAAACTGGCTCATGAGGACATCTCTGAACAAGATATTATCATGTGTGTGCTTCGAGGCCTCCCTACGGACTATGCCTCGCTCAAACAGAACATTCGTACTAATATTGCAACCGTCACCTTTAATCAAGTATCTGCGTGGTTGCTCTCTGAAGAATTAAATCTTACTTTTGAGAAGAAACTGCACCTTGGTGACTCTGGTTCTCCCTCGTCAACAGATCTTCGCCATGCATTATTCACCAATTCAGGGCGAGGTACTGGCTGGGGTCGTGGTCGTGGGCCATATCGTGGCCGTGGTGGGCCCTCCCGCGGCAGCAGCTACAGCGGCAGAGGAGGCCGGTTGCCCTCCTATCGTGAGGAACCGCGAGGTCGCGGTGGTGGACGTGGGGCAGGCATCACGTGTCAACTGTGTGGGAAGACCGGTCATGCGGTCTGGAATTGTTGGCACCGCTACGATGAATCTTACTCTGGTCCTCCACATGCATACTACCCCAATCAATCTGCTGAAACCAATTCGAACTGGCATCTGGATACTGGAGCGAACACCCATGTGACGTCTGATTTTTCTCGGCTGCATACTTCTTCACTTTATCATGGCACCAACTCTATTACAACTGCGGGAGGTAATACTTATCCTATTGACCATACAGGCTCAGGTATACTCACCACTACAAACCATACCTTTACATTAACCAATCTTCTTCAATCTCCTCATATTAATTCTCACCTTTTATCCGTTCATCAATTTACCAAAGATAATAACTGTTCCCTACTTTTCACTTCTAAGGATTTTATGATTCGGGACAACACCACCAACCAAGTTTTTTTCAAGGGCCCCTGTGAGCGTGGATTATATTCTCTCTCTGCCTTCAGTTCGTCACCAGTGGTCAACTCCGTCAAAGTCACTCCCTACCAATGGCATTGCCGTCTTGGTCATCCCTATGTTCAAGTCACCAAGTCTCTGTTATCTCAATTAGGTTTTAAATTTCAGGAACTTGATCATTGTAATTCTTGTTCTGTTGCTAAATCTCATAAACTCCCCTTTCTTGTGTCGCAAACTAAAGCGTCTGCTCCCTTTGAACTTGTTCACTCTGATGTATGGGGACCTACCTCTGTACCCTCCTTTGGAGGTTTTCACTTTTACATTAATTTCATTGATGATTTTACCAAATTTTGTTGGTTGTACCCTCTTAAACACAAGTCTGATGCATTTGATGCTTTTCTCAGTTTTCAATCTATGGTTCAAAATCAGTTCAATACACAAATTAAAATTTTTAGAACTGATAATGGGCAGGAATATGTCAACACAAAATTTGGCTTGTTCTTACAGAGTTTGGGGGTTCTACATCAAAAATCTTGCCCATACACTCCTGAGCAAAATGGGGTAGCAGAACGGAAACACCGTTACTTAGTTGAAACCCTTGTCACACTCCTTTGCACTGCGTCTCTCCTAGCAAAATTTTGGGTTGAAGCCTTAGCCACGGCGAATTTTCTGATCAATCGCATGCCCAAAAGGTCTCTAAATCACAAATCACCCTATGAGTCTCTCTTTCACAAACCTCCCGACTATTCTATATTTCGAATCTTTGGGTGTTTGTCCTATCCATGTCTTCGTCGTGAAATCACTAATAAATTCCAACCCCTGTCCAAACCTTGCATATTTCTTGGCTATGACTCTTCCTCCAAAGGGTATCGGTGTTTTGATCGCACCACGGGTTGTATATACATCTCCCGTCATGTCCAATTTCAAGAAAATCACTTCCCGTACTCCACCGTTTCTTCACAATCAGGGTCGTCTTCTACTCCGTCCTAGAGCTTGGTATCAACGTCTCTTCGGCTTCCTTACTGACTATGGCTTTGGGAAAAATGAACATGACACAAGCTTCTTTGTTAAGCACTCTCCCTCCAGTGTTCTGATTGTTCTACTCTATGTTGATGACATCATTGTTACTAGTAGCGCCTCCTCCCTCATCTCTTCATTTGTTCATGCTATGCAACAAGAGTTTCAAATGAAGAATCTTGGCCCTCTTCACTATTTTTTGGGACTTGAGGTGACACGCAAAAAGGATTATCTGATTCTGTCTCAGGAGAAATATGCCCGTGAACTGCTTCACAAAGCCGGCATCGACGACTGCAAAACAGCCCCTACGCCGCTGCCTGTTCGGCCGACCGACGAAGGGGAGAGTCCCCCATTTGACAATCCTACCTTCTTCCGCAGCCTAGTTGGATCTCTTCAATACTTAACCAACACACGGCCAGATATTCAATTTGCTGTGAATTATGTTTGTCAACGTATGCATGCACCCACTGAGCGGGATTTCCAGGCCTTAAAACGTATTCTTCGCTATGTCAAAGGCACCATTGATCATGGCTTAATATTCAGGCGTGGACCACAAGTCATTCAGGCATACTCTGACTCAGATTGGGCTAATGATATGACTGATGGACGCTGTGTTACTGGTTACTTGATATATTTTGGCTCAAATCTGATCTCTTGGAGTACAGAGAAGCAAAGCCGCGTGTCCCGGTCGTCCACCGAAGCCGAGTACCGAGCACTCTCGGCTGCCGCAGCTGAAGTAATGTGGCTCACCTATTTGTTTGACATCCTACAGATTAAGCTTCCTCCTCCTCACCTTTTTTGTGATAATCAGTCCACCATCCGTCTGACAAAGAATCCTGTCTTTCACAAGCGAATGAAACATGTTGGTACTGATTGCCATTTTGTACGAGAACAGGTAATTGCTGAACAAATGACAGTCTCGTATGTTCCTTCCCATGAGCAACTTGCAGACCTTCTCACAAAAGCTCTCTCTTCACCGCGCTACTCTGCATTGGTCGCCAAGCTTCCTCTCGTTTCACGGTGTTCAGCTTGAGGGGGGATGTTAGATAACTATGTTCTTCACTCTTTCGAATTGCCAAATGAGCCATCCACAGTCCTATTTATACTCATCATCACCAAGGGTACGGTAGGTTTATCTAGAGTACTCCACACAGTTTTATATCCCTAGAATTCTCTAAAAGTCTCTAAAAACTTTTATAATATTGTAGAAGAATCTAGAGATCCCACTTGCTTAGTTCTAGAGACTTCCACAATTCTCTAAAAGGATATAGAATATTCTATAAACTTCTACATTTTTCTACACAATTTTAGAGATTTGTACATTTCTCTACAGAATTCCAAAACATTCTAGAGAATTGTACACATTTTCACCATGTTCTAAAATTATCTAGAATCTTTTCTTTGACAACTTTTTGAAAATATTGAATTAATATATGCTAACAATTCGTCTATATTATTCACTTTATTTAAGACCAACTTTAACTAAATACAAATATGAGTTGTTTAGTTCTCTAAATAGGGGGTATTAATAAGAAATTCATGTGAAGTATATAGTGGAGCACCAATTTAATTAGAGAAAAAGACTAGAGTAAGACGAAAATATTAGAAATATATCTAAATAGAAATTCCATATTTTTATTTCTGAGGTGGGAGTTAAAATACATACATAGTGCCAATCATGACCACAATGCAAACTTCTAATTTGAGGAAAAATATTATATGAAGCTCCTAATTGGACAATTTTCAGAGTGATTTCTTATTTTTTTACTTTAAGAATAATTATTTAGTGAATCAATAATTGTATCTTTGTAATAGGAAACATATAGAACATTAAAAATTAAATACTTTGCTTATTCTTTTATTTCTTTATTATATTTTTACTATAATTTTTCTCATACTTGTATTGGAATGCTCTCTGGTAATCCGGAAGAGGTATTTATTATTATTGAATAAGAAAAATTATTATCCTATATATATATGTAAAGCAAGGTTTATTTCTTGGAGTGTTGACATGTGGCATGCCACATTTGCATCCACATGTGCATTCATTAATAAGATGGATAATTTCATTAGTCCATTTAATTATTTAAAAAAATCTTTTAACACATTTTATTGTATTACATTCAATAAAAATTATATTTTAGTATTAAAAATATTACTATAATTATACTTTTTATAAAAAATGTTATTTTTTTCCAATTTTACAAACATATATCATCATTGTAAAATTTATTTCGTACTCCGTATTATATATTATATATTTTTTATTATAATGTTTTATTAATGAAAAGTATTTTCATTAGTACTTCATTGAATAATGACCATTAGTTTTGCATATAATTTTTGTTTTTAAATAAACATACTAATATATATTCCACCAGTTTAAAACATACTTTGTTTACATAATTAAATTATATCTATAAAAAAACTTAACTTTATGAATGT